CCTACTTCCACCATGTGCTAATGAGCATATGTCTGGGTGGCTCACTGCGCAGTGATTACTGTATTCGGCGCCATTGACTAGACTCGATTGGTCGATTTGTGATTCCGAGCGTGTTAACAGCTAAGGTCATTAGTCCCGTGAATGTAGTGAATGTTTTAGCGCGGGAGGTGGTGGTGACCTTCCCCCGCTGGATGATGAGATCCGGTGCCGACTTACCGTCGGCTAGCGAGGTTTTCCTCAACCAGGTATCTCCCACCAGCGAGCCTCCTAGCATGTGTGGTAGTGTAGTGTATGTAATTGCGTGTGTGTAAGTAAGGGGTAGGTTGGGACAAAGAATTGGAAGAAAAGGTCCGTGGCCCGTTTGTTAGGGTACTGCTCCGGCATTCACCTGGTATTGATCGGAGAAACGAGGGAATAGAACTGATAAGAACAGCCAGCCCCTAGAATTCTTCTGCATTAAGCGGTTGAATTCAACCTTTCTATCTAGCTAGCGTCAAAACTCTTGCCATCATCGGGACTCGAACTCTTAGGACCGACCGGTCAGATGCACTGCAGTGACATCAGCTGATGCTCAGAGCTACCTCCCCCGGTACTGGATTCGTATTCGATCATAAATTAAAGTCATGTTAAATTTTTCGAACATTTGAGTATCTTTAGCGTAATTTTGCCTGAAATATATGCAACTTTTAAACCAGTATTTTCTCAAATGCGGCTCTCACCTTTTTCTTTAATTCTTTACCTCCTATCTAACACAGGTCAATAAAAAATACTGTTGCTTATCCCATTTTTGGTGTTTCGAAAAGTGCGGAAAATTAACATTTGAAAACTACAAATTGTTGATAGTGATTTGTCTCGAATAAACTCTTTAAAAAAATATTCAATTTTTTGAAAAAGTGTAATTTTCCCAGAAATTCTGCTTGATGTTAATGCAATTTTTAAAAAATTCTGAAAACAGATCCAAATTTTTCTTTGATGTTTCCTCAAATTAAGCAAAGGAATATTAAAAACTAGTTCAGGTCTTCTTTCATAAACTCTCCAAATTGTCGAATATTGCAAAAAGTTCGAAAAAATCGAGAAAGTATGAGCTATTGTAGCACCACTAGTTTCTTTTCTTAATTGCACTGTCGTGTAAATGAGATGATCACTACAAGAGTGTTTTTTTTCTTCAAGAATTGGAAGGCGGATGACAAAGTTAATATCTAGCCCGGCTGCCACACAATGCATGTGTGAAAACTGATGAATGAATGTTAGTATGTGCCAGTGATCCGATGGGTTGTTCCAACAGACGACTATGCAAACCGTATTTACCCAGCTGTCTCTCTCTAATTGATTAGTGATTCCTGATAAAGCCGTTAGTCTCGTAAGTGTAGTGCGTGTTTTATTACGGGAGGTTGCGGTAAAACACGCACTACACTTACCCCGCTAGATAATCCGAGATTCGAGGCCGACCTACTAGTCGGCTTACGGTTTTTTGATCCCTAGGTATCCCTTACCCGCGGGGAATGACTCAGCTGTGACAAGGCATCAGCTCCAAACTAGTCTCCCAGTATGTGTGATAGTGTAATGCATGTAAGTGCAAGTAAGTATAAGTAAGAGTGAGGAGACGACAAAGAATAGAAAGGAAAGATCGCGCGTGGTCCGCGGCCCGTTTGGTACTGGTGTTGTTCGAAGAAACAACAGAAAACCGATCAGAGCAGCCGGCCGCTACAATACTCGTCTAGACAGTGCGGCGGAATTCGACCTAGTTATGTAGCTCGTGTCGAAAAACCTGTCACCGTCGGACCTCCCGGTCAGAGGCACGGCAGTGACGTCAGTTGATGCCCTGAGCCACCTAAGCTGCCTCATGAATATATCCCAAATATTTAGCAAATTTGACGATGTAACTAATACTTCTGGGCAAAGAGGCCACCTTCGGAATGTCACACCCAATGAAATACAGTAGCATCTGATAATTATCGAGAAAACACGAAGCTCAGGTCAGTCCTGAGACGGTTTTCCTAACCCAAGAGGGTTTGCAGTGTAACGGAACACAAACGCTATCGGGTCTTCGTGAACTGTAGCCCAAACACAATTCACACCACGAATTTGCTACTAACGTTCAAGGTAAACTCTTCGAAATTTCCTCCAAGTAACCAAACGTTGTCAAAGAAACACGGCAGCCAGTACGATATTTACGTTATTTCATATATGCAGAACTTGCCAAAAATTTCAAATTGTTTTGTGATTTGGAAGAGCTACGTCTCTGGCGTAAGACGGAAGGATTTAACGCATTGATTTGTTCTAAGCAAGGGAATTCGGACTGAATCAAGAAACAATAATTCCTTGCAGTCCGTGGCCCGTTTTTGTTTGAGGGAACTGCACAGGCTCCTCGGGAAATAAAAACACAGAAAACTATAGAAACGTTTGCTCCGAGCAGCCGCTTACTATAATTCTCAATCCGGTGGTGCTCGGCTGTAACTCAACTATTTATCTGGCAAAGGAAATCTTAAAACCCACCGTCGAAACACAAATATATTGCTTTCCGCTCTATGAAGCTTCGGTTCCAATTTTTTTTAAATTTATGCAACGTCAAAAACAGTTTAAATCTGTGTGTAACAAGTGGAGCAAAGTGTATTCTGTCTACTTTTTTGAGAAATCCTGGCGTAGGTTTTGTCCCGGTTGAGGCGGTGACCCGCTGGGTCACAGTGAGTGGAAACATTAATCAAACAATGTGAATAAATAAAGTAATGCGGCCTCTGTTGTAGCGGTCCGGCTGCCTTCCATTTGATCTCCGTCATAAATTTATTTTACTTCAAAAAATCACGTGAAAACTACTGGTAGTTTTACAAAATTGTGTATGACTTTATTGAAAGCCCTAATTTGTTTAGAACAGATTCTATGACAGTAACAATCTCTATCATCAATTATCTGCTATTGAACTTAATTTTTGAGAAGTTTTGTAAAATATAGTTACAGTTTACCAATAATGTGACCTGCGATATTTTTTAACGTTTATTCCTATATCCAAAGAACAAATCTAAAGAAAAAATTGAGAACATTTGAGTTTTGAAAAAAATGTTTAAAAAATGCCTACATTTTACGTGACAATTTCACAAAACTACTCATTTATTCACAAAATTGTACTTCACTTTATTTTAAAGTATGATTTAGAACATATTTTATTAAGAAACAATCTGTCTTATATATTGAAGTTGTCGGAAAAAGTCGAACATTTTTTACTCATCCAATTTCCAAAAATTCAGACAGAGCAATGAAAATAAAATGTTTTCCATACGTATTATCGTTATTTGATCGATACGTGAATTTTTTTCTTTTTACTTTTGGTGTCATTTATAAGAAAATGTTGAAACTGCTGTTAAGAAATCATGTAACGTATTCCACAAAATCAAAATATCCGTTTCAAAAACGAAGGACTCAAATTCGATAAAAAAAGATGAGGTAATTTTAATTTTGAAAATCGTCTGAACGGTTTAGGTGCCAAAGTTATCCACAGACGCACTTTTTGATGTTAAGCAATTTTTCGGAACCAAAGTGACGAAATGAGAATTTTAACAACACAACGGTTACCGGAAGTGATTTACTACATATCGGAACAAGATTTATCAACTTTTTTCCGTAACAGGACACCACAACACGAGTATTTCAGTCGAAAAACCGTCGCGTTTTACCACCGCATTGTAATTCTTTTATTTCATAAGTACGTCGTGCAGCGAGAATGTAAACTTCTGGTTCTACAACTGTTTATATTTCCTCGAATTATATCTAAGTTTCCAATTTTCTAAAATTCATAGAGTACAACGAAAATAAGACCTGCGATTGTTTGTTCTTTTCGAAGACAAAACTTAAACAGAAAATTTGAAGCTGTTTACGATAATATCTGGAGCTCTTTTTGAAACATACCCGCAAACAAATCTACATTAAATCATTAAACTCTATTATTAAGATCTGATTTTTTACAACAGATTTCTTTAAAAACAAAAGTCTCTTAATTCAATGTTGTGCTTTTGCAATGTACAATTTTTAAATATTAAAAAATAAAGAGAGATTCCTAAAAGTGGGCCAGCACCTCTGATACATACGAGGAGAAAAGTTTTTAAAAATGCAGCCGAGTAAGAAAATTGTCTAAAAACTGCCTATATTTTACACAAAATGATGCAAAACTACTCTATGAACACACTAAATTTCCAAAACATAGTGCTAGTTTTTTTAAGATCTGTCTTTTAACAAAAGTATTTATAAAAAAAATATCTTCAATATTGTAGTTGTAAAAAGAATTTGCTACATACAGGAACAAGGATGATTAACTTTTTCTTTACCATGTCCCGACAATAATTGACATTCTGTCAAACATTTGTTGATCTGCGAGGCACAATTCCAATACTTTCTATTTACTACTTACGTAGTAAAACGGGAAAAGAAAATGTGGTAAATCATGTTCATATTGCACGTTGTAAATTCCATTATCTAACGCGTTGTGTACTCAGAATCGACGTTCTTTTGTTACTACACTAAACGACCTAACTTATCGTGATATAACAGCACATATTTTCTCATATCTGTAACGGCTACGCAATATTGTTATACAACATGAACCTGCAAAAGTATTTATAACCAACAAAGTTTTATTCATGCGATGGAATTCGACCTCAGGTACTTAAATTTAACACGTCATTGGCGTTACCCCTGCACAACTAGCCTCTTAGCAAAACTCAACTTTCCCTTCGTTTAAAAAAATGAACATCTGCATTTGCAATTTCAAAAACGTAGAGATTATATACATTATATCAAGATTTAGTTTTAAATAACATATTTCTGTAAGAAATAATCTCCATCAGCAATATTTAATTTTTGTAATGTTAATCTTTAACAATTAATGTGTTTTAATAATTTTCGAATATACGAAGTTCGAACCCTCTGCGTTTTCATGTGTGTGTGTGTGTGTGTGTGTGTGTAGAATAGGGCATTTCAGTGAGTGGTACATGTAGAGCCTGTGTGCACAGCGTGGGGCGCGACGGCGGCGGTGAGCGCGGGGGCGCTGGTGGCGCTGGCGGCGTTGCCCCCCTTCGACTACTGGGAGGCCACCGGCGACGGCGACGGCCCAGCCGAGCGCAGCGAGTGGAGCGTGGGGCCCTGCACCTTCCAGTTCTGGGAGCCCTGCAACAACTCCAAGCTGCTCTTCTACCACTTCTCCAGGTAGGCGACGCGAGAGACACAATGTGCCTTTACAACGTGAAAAGTGGTCTAGATCAAATACGCCCATCTCTCTTTTGTTCCGCTTTTCTTGGTTCCATTCAACAAATCTGAGATGGTCCCTTTGTAAATACCTCTGGGCATAAATGTGGCTTTACTATGGGAACGTTATGTTGAGTTCCCTATTTGCTAGTTGCGGAAATTGTTGGACGTGGCGATTGTTATTTGGTGACCAATACAGTAAAACCAAATCTGTAGCTCCTGTGCCAATACAAACACCGTGCGTTTTCAATTACTCAAAAGCAAAGCTATCTAGCTTTAAAAATGTGGACTGTTGGTGACGACTAAGAAGAAATTGAGAAGTTAATGCTCAGACAGATCAGGTACGATCTTCAAATCTAGAATCCGCGCATTAGCACATCATTGTATTCACTGAAATAATTGGAAATTGTCATGAAATGAAATTTTTTTGAGATCAAATATTTTGTAATTTTTTTTTGTTTCTCCGCGCATTACAACAGACACACATGTTTTTCGATTTTAGGTCAATATTAACACGTACATTTCTGCTGGCAGTATGCAATATTTTAATATTTACACCTTGATTGAAAATGTCGCAATCGTGTCGGATTGGAAGCAACAGTGCACGATTATTACAACTTTGTAGAAAAAATAAAATTTCACTGTCGGCAATTCCCAAATGAATGACATTGATTTGAAAAGCAAACAGATTTGTGACATATATTATAGCTGGGCCTCTTAGAAAAAAAACATCATGCCATCGCTTACCTCAAGAGTCGTGTCTATGCCATCCCCCACTGCCACCCATCAAGGACCGCCTGCAACGATAACTGATTCGGTTTTGCTACTTAGTTCTCACGCTTCAACACTGTAGGATTCGGGACGTTTGTCAAGACCAGGCTGTCTTCTCCCCGCCCGTCCAGGCCAAGGCGGTGACGGTGACGGTGACGGTGACGGTGACGGTGACGGTGACGGGGACGGTGACGGTGACGGTGACGGTGACGGTGACTGTGACGGTGACGGCAATGGCTCATCAAGGCGCAGAAGTTGAGCCTCTAAAAAAAGGAATCTTCCCCTCCGCCGCTTTCCGCGCATGCACAGTTCCGGGAATTTTTGCTAGTGGTCAAGCTATAGAGTTTTCCATTCACAAATGGGAATCGACTTTAAACTTTTCATGAACTTCACGTTTCATGAACGTTACGTTTCAGTAACGTTTTATTACTAGTCGATGAACGAGTTCTAAACTATCATTGCATGTAATAAATGCACCCGAAGAAAAAGAATGTAATTCAAACATTGAAGATGTGAATATTAAACTCATAAGAAACGAAATCTGTAATATAAACTTTCCAAAATACATTTGTTAGTAGACTACAAATATATTGAGTTAAAATTCCTATTGAAATTTTGCACTAACTTTATTAATCCAGTTTAAATTGTTTACTGTTAAGCACATGTTGATTACATTAAACATGAATTGAATATTCAGAAGTTATAAAATAATTGTACTCTACTGACCAAAATTTTTACATTAGACATGACCTGAAACTTATTCATCTTGTATGAAAATTGTTTGGTATTGTATCTGGCTTCTAAGAACACTAGAAATTTCTTCTTGACGAAAGCAGATAAACAGCTTGAAGATGTGTATTGGAACTCTGAAAGTTACACTTTCCGCATCCTTCAAATTTGGTCAGTTTTTCATAGTTGTTGGCCATTTCGTCCAGTTCTGTGTGCACAGTACTTTTGAAGATACCCTACAAATTGAAACTTTCATGTACGCCAATATGAATCAGAAACACAGGTAAAAGCCATTATTTATCCATCATCATTCTCAGCTCCATTAATTATTTCAAAAGTCCAATTAAAATTTGAATTCTTCTGAAAAATATATATACTCGTAAATTATAAAATAATAAGACTAATAATGAATGTTATGAATTATTTAAATTAGCTAATAAAATCTATATAATAACATTCATTGATTTTCAAAATGTATATGATTGCATTGAATATATATATATATATATATATATATATATATATATATATATATATATATATATATATGAGTTCGGCCTGTACAATAGAACTACAAATCTAATCAAAACCACTCTTACAGAAATATATACTAAACTCAAATTTATGGGAGAGTTATCGGAACTATTTATAATAAAAGTTGGAATAAGACAAAGTGACATTACTTTTTAATTGTGCACTAGGAAAAGTAGTCAGGGAATGAAATAAAAACGTAAACAAAAATAATGGAATTAAAATTGGAACTAAAGGACTAAAATGTATCAGCCTAACCTTTGCAGATGATATGACTCTTATAGCCAAAGACTGGTCTGAATCACAAACAAATCCAACAATTACAAAAACAAGCACCTAAAGTAGGACTCAAAATATCCTTTGAAAAAATAAAACTATTATCTAACATTAAAAGCTCACCCAATTATCAAAAAATAAACTGAAAAAATGGAAAGGATAGAACACTTTAGATATTTAGGTGAATGGATTAGTTGGAATGCATTAGAAAAGAAAGCCATAGAAGCTAGGACACAGAAAATTGAAGTAGCATTTCAATTAAACAAAGATACATATAACGAAAAAATCACTGCCATGGAATTCAAAAATGAAACATATTAAAACATTTATAAAACCAGACGTACTATATGCAGCTGAAACACTAGCCCCAAATAACAGAGGATTACTAAATTGTTTAGAAAAGAAAGAAAGAAAAATACTAACAAAAATACAAGGCTTTAAACACAAAAATAATGAACTTTTAATTCCTAATAAAGATTTGTAAAAAATATTTGAAAAAGTCACAAATACAATGAGAAAGAGGAGGATTAGTTTCTATGGCAATATCCTTAGAATGAATAATAACAGACTAACTAAACAAATATATGAGTTATTTTTAAATAGAAAAACTAAGAGCAATTGGTTTTAATTAATCCAAGAAGACTTACATGAATTTAAAAAAATACTGATAAATTAATTGAAATTAAAAAACAATTCAGAACGAATAATTCGAGATTAGCAGCTAATAGTCCGAGAAGAAACAAAATCCAAAAGAAGGGCAACAGTGTCAGAAGAGGAAAAAAGGCAACATCTGGAAGAATGACGGAATATTGAAAGAAATGTAAAGAGAAAAAAGACTTACGAAGTATTGGATCTAATGTACTCCAAAGTGAGTGGTCCAAAAGACGAGGAAGAAATAAACAGAAAACTTACCACAGAATGTTGCAATTTTGCTGTTTTTCACAATAAAATAATTTCCTTCGCCACAAATTCAGTCACCCAAATTCGCTGTTTAATCAGTAATTGTCTTTAGGATATCTCAAAATTTTCATCTGCTTCATCTTCTTCAAATAGTATATTTGCCATTGTTTCCAGTGTATTCACTACGCTTTCAAGCGTACTTAATGAGACTTCAGTCAAAGTTTTAAGCTTGCTATACCACGGAAAATGTTCTTTACCTAATGTCATAAAAGGTTAATGTAACAAATAAAAACACAGGTTAATGTAATGAGGATAATATTTTAATAAAACAAAGAAGAACATACCCCTTGTTCTTAATTCCAAGTACATTAAGTTTTGCAAGAGGCTTTTTGAGACCTCAAGGGCTTTTAGAATGATGTGTGCTGACAGAATTCTTCGTGAATGAATCATGGCGCAAAGTCGATCCAATAGTTCAGTTTGTTCGTTGATAATCCATTCATTCAGTATATCCATAAGCGAATCTTCTGAGCTCTCTTGATTTGCCATAGCGATTATATCGTGGAATAAAATTAGCGCAAACTATTGTCTCCGCTTACATGCGTGTTATTACCTTCTCTATCTCGTTACGTTGTCATTCATTTGTTTAAATCTCGCGCTCTCGTGAAGAATGGTGACTATCGAATCATATTAATATCGATATTGTGGAATGGTGACTGTCGATTTTAATTGATATTGATTGGAAACTACTTGTTTTGTATAAAGAGTAATATTCACATAGCCGCCAATAGAAGTTTCCAATGAAGCCAGTGAGTTCGCGGCTATACTGTACAACCCTATTCAGCGTTGCGTGCTGTTTAAATGTGCGACGAAGTGCTTAATTTTATTTCATATATATTTAGAAGAGAGCTTGGCATGTGGTAGAGTGATTGTTTATTGATAGGGACTGGCGTGTTGAAAGTGTAATTGACTACGCACGCTTATGTTGCATTTGGTCGCGCGAAAAAAGGTTCAAAAGACGTGCCGGGTATAAATTTCCACACGTAAGTATTGTCTAGGTTTGTTTTTGCTAGTTACTTAAACATCTGCAATTTATATTAAAGAAATGTTCTTTCATCTTTGCGAAGGATCATAAATACGCGGGAAATGGAATGCTGCTTGGAAAAGGAAAAACGTGACCCCGACGTATTGTTCTATTTTATGTTCAGTGCATTTTAAAAGTGATGATTTTGTTCTCATGTCTTTGGCTTGCGTGCGATTAAAGACAGAAGCTTTCCCGTCAGTTTTTCCTATTTTTTCGCAGTATTTGCAACCTTGCAGAGATTTGTACTTATAATGCATTCTTAATATATTTTAGTTTGAATAAATGGTGAAATTTTTTGACTTGAATTGTATTTATATTTCCCTACAATTGAGGTCATCCAACATAATTAAAGAAATAGTTCTACATGGGCATTGTGAATTATGTAATGCCCAAGCTAACCTGGTAATTTCCGTATTTTGTTATTATTTCATTATTATATGGCCAAAAGTAGCTATAATCTTAAGGAAAAGACAATATAAATATTTCGTATACAGCTTTTTAGTCTTATTGTTTTACTTCTCTTAAGAAACAAGTCCCTTTAAAAATTTTAGACTGCAGACATTATTTCTAATTATTTTATTTCATACCAATTAAAAATTAAACTTAAGATTATATTTTGCTATTATTCTGCTAAGTACTATTGTATAATAATCGAAATTTAAATTGATCATAAACTTTTATTAAATTTTTATTCTTGTCATTAAATAGAAACTTTATCTACGAGAGGAAGGTATTACCGGGAGTAGATGAAGCATCTTTATCATTGCGTGTAATATTTAATTTTATTTTATTCCAATTTTTCGGTAAAATGGAAAATATAAAATATGTTAGATTACGTCAGGTTAAATAGTTTGCTGCATTGCTATCATGAAGGCGTGAGCCACCGCCTGGAGAGACCAGGAGATTTAAAGATTTTTATTGCCCGTAGGAGATAACGATATACTGTAACCATTCACCCTTTCCGAGGAGGCTATTGTTGTAACAGAATAGTATTAGCCATTAAAAAGAGTCTTTGTCCTTCCGAATAAAATAAAGGCATTTTTCATTGTTCTTGTTCGGGCCTCAGTGAGGCAAAATTCTTTAAATGTAGTTATGTAGGGGAACCGCCGACGTCGTTAGCCGAATTCATTTACTACGTTCCATGAAGTCACGGAAATTACGCGAATTCGAGATTCGAGGGTTCCTGGTTGGGTGACCGGCTAGGAACCACACGATCTAACGGCGTCGACCCCCTGGCCGAAGGAATGAAAGGCACTGACTGACTGCGACGTGACGAGACTTGACAAAGAAAGTAAAGGAGGATTACTCCACGCAAGCGCTCAACAAGGGTTTAAGAGACGTATTGCATCAATGACGCAACAAACTTTTTTAAAAAATCAGTCTTCTCGCACTCATTAAACATTGTTTACAATATGCGGTGAATTTCATGATGCTATTTATTCATGCATTGTGAATTTCACTCATTCAGAATTCACCTAAATTATTACAACCAATAGCAATTTATCTTACAATAGAGAAAACTGAATGAATCTGTCAGCAGTTAGGAATAATTTTGTTCTACCAACTACAAAATAATTAGTGAACACTTCCATTTTACTTCTGCTTTTGAAACAAGGTCAAAAATCATCAATCATGATAAATTTAAGCATCAAGAATTATATACCAAATAGTAGCGTAGATGATCGAAAGTCACACAATAAAATGCAA